GAAAGCATTCTATCTGGATGCATAACGGCTTGGCACAGCAACACCTTTGCTCAGGGCTATAAGAAACTACAGAAAGTTGTGTGCACAGCCCAAACCATCACGGAAGCAAACCTCCAATCCATGGACTCCATTTACACGGCTCATTGCCACGGAAAGGCAGCCAACATCATCAAAGACACCTCCCACCCCGGTAATGCTCTCTTCCAACCTCTTCCATCACGCAGAAGATACAGAAGCTTGAACACACGGACCAACAGGTTCAAAAACAGCTTCTTTCCTGCTGTTATTAGACTGCTGAATGGACCTCTCTAATTCCAAATCTAATGCTGAACTTGCTTTGTGCGCCTCCTGTGCAGCCATAACCTTTGTCTAAGCGCCCTATGATCTCTATGTCCTTGTCTGCTATGAACTGCCTGTACTGCTGACAAAACAAAACTTTCCACTGTACTTAGGGACATGTGACAATAACAAACCAAATCAAATCAAAAAACAAGCTTCAGTTCAGGCCAAATAGTATGGAGCAAAGGTTTTGATGAACTAGCTTGATGTCGGATGCTTTTGCTGTGATTCTAATCATTACTTTGTTTTAATTTGGAAAATAGATGTTCCTTTTGTTGATGTAGAGAAAAGATGTGGAATGCAGTGATGGAAAGGACAGTAGGAAAAAAACTGAAGAATCACTTTCAAAAGGAAACTTGATAAATATTTTAAGGAAGAAAAACATATTAGGGATGCATGGTAAAGAGCAGGAGAGTGGGACGAATCAGAGTAATCTTTCAAAAAGACAGTACAGGGATGATAGTTCAAACAGTGTAATTACAATCAATGCAAGTGACATTCCTGTAGCAAAATCCAGGATAATAATTCCTGATTTTAGTGTGGTTATGATATCTTCAAAAGTAAAGCAGATGGAAATACATGAGCCATGACTTTTAAATGAATCAATAAGGCAACTATTATGTTCATCACTGAATACAGACTGCAGATGAAATAAACCACATCCTACACTTAAATAATACTTTATACTTAAGAGGTTACAATTTATGAACAGACCAGCACCAGTTTGGTAAATACAGACTGAAGTGAACCGCAAGTCAATGCCGCGATCAGTGTGCCAAGACTGATTGCTCTATGGAATCTTGGAGCAGCTTGGCGTTACTATTGTACAGAAACTAAACTGGACTTGACATGATAAATACTGTGGCTACAGCAGTAGGTCACCTCCTGCTCTCCCAAAGCCTGTCCACCAAATACAAGGCACAAGTCAGGAGTGTGATGGAATATTCTCCATTTGCCTGGATGGATGTAGCTCCAACAACACTCAAGAAGCTTGACACCATTCAGGACAAATCAGTCCATGGATTGGCATCACATCCCCAAACTTTCACTCCCTCCACCAACCGTGCCATCTGTACCATCTACAAGATGCGCTGCAGAAATTCACCAAAGATCGTCAGACAGCACCTTCCAAACCCACGACCACTTCCAGCTAGAAGGACAAGGGCAGCAGATACATGGGAACACCACCCCCTGCAAGTTCCCCTCCAAGCCACTCACCATCCTGACATGGAAATACATCACCGTTCCTTCAGTGTCGCTGGTCAAAATCCTGGAATTGCCTCCCAAAAAGGCATTGTGGGTAAACCCACAGCACATGGACTGCAGCGGTTCAAGAAGGCAGTGCATCACCACCTTCTCAAGGGCTACTAGAAATGGGCGACAAATTCTGGCCCACATCCCATGAATGGGTGAGTTTAAAAAATGAAACAAGATTTGCAACTCCAAAAGATAAACTTAAAACTCGTACTTAATACTGAATTCTTTTCCTTCAGGATCGTTCTCCTCTTGCCAAGTCTCATGGTTCCTCCCATCTCTCCGGGATTGTGTTCGGGCATGTCAATCACCTGCACAAAATGTGACAGAATTTTCAAATCTTCATCTAGCGTAAGGCATCATCTTTAAACTCTTGATTGGACCTCAGCAACTTGCAAAATAACACCTGCAGCACGCTATATTTTTATTTTTTTTAATCTCCTCTGAATTCTCAACCTCAGAAAGCTCAGTCAATCAATATTTTCAATACAAGGAGGAACAGATTATTGCATTTCAGCATTTTGGATGCTGTGGGAAGCTGCAGCAGAGGTACATGCTCAGACAGATCACATTGAATAACAGATCAGGCTTGAGGGGCAAAACAGCCTCTTCTTGTTCCTTGTTAAAGATTAAAAAAACCGCAGATGCTGGAATCCATCAGGAGGATGCTGCCTGGCCTGCTGTGTTCTTCCAGCCTCCTGTTTGTCTACCTCTTACTGTTCCCGTTTCTTGATTTTATGTTTTTATGGCATAGGTATTAACATAATTCATCTTCAATTTTGCCACTTAGCCATCCGTCTTAGACACATTGAAATCTCTGACCTCAAATGGCATGGCAGTTTAAAAGATCTGACTCTGTTTCCATAATCTTTTTCTCAATCCGACAGACTGGTCTCTGACAAAAGTGGATGATGGTGGTCAGCATATCCTGTATAATTATAGGCAAAGTAAAACAAATTCCTCTTGCAGTTTAATTTTGACAGTGGGGAGATATTTTAAATGAAACTGTTGCACACTCTGACAAATCTGTACTCCTTTAAGGTTAGTAACAAATTGTAATGCAAATCAACATTAAGGACAACAAGGAGTAAGTTTCAATACTCTCTTCCACTGGGAAATCAGGTTTCCCATTCTGTCACAAAGTCAACCATCTTTCCAGTGGCTAGTGACTGAGAGAATCAGCAAGACTTGTTTAAACAGATTCTCTGGTGAGTGCTGTCACGGATCAACATGGTCACCATTAGCAACACAGGAACAGAGGAGGCCATTCGGCCATAGAGACATACTGTACAGACACAGGCCCTTTGGTCCAACTCATCCAAGCCAGTCAGGTTTCCCAAACTAAACTAGTCTCGTTAGCCTGTGTTTGGCCTCATCCCTCTAAACTTTTCCTATTCATCTACTTGTCCAAAAGTTTTTTAAATGTTCTAACTGTACCTGCATCTACCGCTCCCTCCAGCAGTTCATTCCACACATGAACCGCCTTCTGTGTGAAAAAATTGCCCCTCAGGTCCTCTTTAAATCTTTTTCCTCTCACCTTAAAAATATGCCTTCTAATTTTGAACTCCCCTACCCTGGGAGTACTATTCACCTTATCTATGCCCCATATGACTTTGTAAACTTCTATAAGGTCACCCCTCAACCTCCTATGCACCAGAAAGTAAAGTTCCAGCCTCTCCCTATAACTCAAACTCTTCAGTCCCAGTAACATCTTCATAAATCTTTTCTCCATCTTCTCCAATTTAATAATATCCTTCCTATAGTCGGGAGACCAGACCTGTACAAAATACTCCAAAAGTGACCTCAACATGATATCCCAACTCCTATACTCAATGGTCTGAGCAATGAAGGCAAATGTGCCAAATGCCTTTTCAACCACCCTGTCTACCGGTGACACAAATTTCAAACCATTCAGTGATTGATTAATCTTTGGTTGATCTGTGGCCTTAAGCCCATTTTCCTTAATACCTTTGCTCAACAAAAAAAAAAATCTATCTTAGATTTAACTGGTCCAGTGTCTACTGCTGTTTGCAGAACAGAGTTCCGAACATCCACCACCCTCCATGTCTCGTTCTAGAGGGGTCACTGGACTCGAAACATTAACTCTGTTTTTTCTCTCCACAGATGCTGCCAGACCTGCTGAGTTACGCAAGCAATTCCTGTTTTTTTTTTCAGATTTCCAGCTCTTTGTTTTACACATCTTTAAACAAACCCGTTTTGGCTTTCATTTATTCACGCACATGGGGGAGGCAATGGCCTAGTGGTATTATCACTGGACTGTTAATCCAGAAACCCAGATAATGTTCTGGGGACCCGGGTTCGAATCCCGCCACAGCAGCTGATGGAATTCGAATTCAATAAATATCTGGAATTAAGAGTCTAATGATGACCGTGAATCCATTGTCAATTGTCGGAAAAACCCATCTGGTTCACTAACGCCCTTTAGGGATGAAAATTGCCATCCTTACCTGGTCTGGCCGACATGTGACTTCAGACCCACAGCTATGTGGTTGACTTTTAACTGCTCTCTGGGCAATTCGGGATGGGTGGTAAATGCTGCCTGGCCAATGATGCCCTCATTCCGTGAATGAATAAAGAAAAAAAATGTTTCAATCAACCATTAATGTTGTCCTGGATTATTGATTATTCTTCTCTCATGGGATGTGGGCATCTCTGGCTGGGCCAGCAAATTGTTACCAATCCCTAATTGTCCATAGAGACATACTGTACAGACACAGGCCCTTTGGTCCAACTTGTCCATGCCAATCGGGTTTCCCAAACTAAACTAGTCTCGTTAGCCTGGGCCAGCAAATTGTTACCAATCCCTAATTGTCCATGAACAATGCCTCATTGCCCCTGGGCCGTTTTTGAGGGCAGTTATGAGTGAACCACATTGCTGTGGGTCTGGAGTCACATGTAGGCGAGAAGGTGTGAAGGCATCAGTTTTCAGATCCTGGAGGACATTTGCGAACAATAGAATTATACAGCTGTACAGTATGGAAACAGACCCTTTGGTCCAACTCATCCATGCTGACCAGATATCCTAAATTAATCTAGTCTCATTTGCCAGCATTTGGCCCATATCCCTCTAAACCCTTCCTATTCATATACCCATCCAGATGCCTTTTAAATGTTGTAACTGTACCCACCTCCACCACCTCATCTGGCAGCTCATTCCATACACGCACCACCCTCTGCATGAAAAGGCTGCCCCTCAGATCTCTTTTAAATCTTGCCCCCTCGCCTTAAATCTATGCCCTCTTGTTTTGGATTCCCCGACCCTTGGAAAAAGACCTTGGCTATTCGCCCCATCCACGTCCCTGTGAATTCGTACAACAATTGTTGATAGTTTCATGGATCGTCGTTACCGAGACCTGCTTCAGATTCCAGATTTATACATTCTATTCAAATTCCAATAGCTGTTGTGGTGGGAAGTGAACCTGTGCATCAGTCTGGGTGTCTTGAACCATGGAGGTCCTTCCTTCTTAAAGATCTTTACCCCAGGGTGGTGGAGTTTAAAACTAGGGGGCTTATTTTTTAGGTGACAGGAGAAAGATTTTAAAATGACATGAGGGGCATTTTTATAACACAGAGTGGTTTGTCTGTGGGATGAACTGCCAGAGGAAGTTGTGGATCAGGTACAGTTACAACATTTAAAGGACATTTGGATGAATACATGAATAGGAAAGCTTTGGAAATGGACCAAGCGTAAGTCAGTGAGACTAGTTTAATTTGGGAACATTGTCGGTCTGGACTGGTCGGACCAGAGGGTCTGTTTCCATGCTGTATGACTCTAACCTGAGCCTTGTCTGAGGCACAGTGATCTTCAGGTTAATCCCTCCAGCAGTTATCTCCCTCGAATGAGAGAGCAGCCTGTCGTCCTCTGGAACTGTGCTGGTTTTACTTACTGACTCTTGCTAATCCAGTGACATTACCACTATGTCACCACCTCTGTGAGAAACATATGGGCATTTCATAGCTGGGCTGCCAGATGACAAGCTCCTGGGAAAACAAACCAGGTCCTGGATGGAGGGAACAAAACACTGTGTTCTTTAACACACCGTGTGATAAAGAAAGTGGACGTTCTGCCAAAGAGGTTAATATCGCTGTTCAAGAGACATGTGAAACAATGGGCCATAAAGACATTCACCCTCGCTTCATTGGAAATGGCTGATCAGCTCAGCCCCAAACGTAGAATTAATTTAGTGGATATTGCATACGTACCACAGGATACTTTGTATTTGGATTAAATTCAGTAGAATTGGCATCTGTAAAAGCAAATGCATACAATAAAACAACAAATTTTATATTATTTTAAACCTGAATTAAAAAATCAGTGATTAAACAGCAATGTTGGCCAGAGGAAACAGGGCTGGCTTTGGCAAATGCATCACATTCTGCTCTATCCTGAAAGCTCATTTTCCTATTAAAAACATAACTATTAAAGAAACAATTGCTTGACAGGAAAACCAAGGCATTGAAAATTTTAAACTACGTTTGCCAAATGTACTGATTTGATTGAAAAATGCACAGTTCACATTTCGGATTATAACATTAATAAGGGAACATAAACGATAACATGTGTGTTGGTTGGAGTGGAAAGTGGGGTCTTGACGTGGTGATCCAAAATTACAAACTCAAGCCAAACTTCACAAATTATGACATAAACCCGATTTTGTCATAAAACTACCATCAACGATCCATTGAAACATAAAGTGTGGTTGAATGCAAAATGCAAACATTGCTTTCAGTGAATTCAAGACCCTCCTAGATTGTCATAAAGTAGAAATCACTGAACTGGTAAAAACCTGTTCTTTATTAGTCTCTCTGAAAAAACCCTCAAAAAAAAAACCCACTACATCTTCCGTCAACTATAACTAAATCTATACTGACTTCTAATAAACCTCTTTGGCCCCGGAAAACAAATTTTATATTTGTGGAATGTCAAAGTTTTCCATTATAATAAACAAAAACGGAATATATTTCACCTGTTACCTTCATCCTGCATGTTGGTCCCAATCTTTATATTTAATAGAGAATGAAACAACAATGAAAGATTGTCAGCACATTTTAGCTCCCAATTTGCTGGTCTGACAGTACTGGTCAGTGTCATTGGATCCTTAGTCTACATGATGGAAGCACTACTGCTGGCCATTTCAAGATCGTCTTGACTTGGTGCCAGATTCAAACCATTGTTGGGAAATGGGGAAATTCACGGAGGTCACTCGACCTTTGCAACTTTCTTCAGATGATTTGTCATTACCGCTCACCACGGACTACGAAATTCGGGCTAATATTTCAAAAACTGACCGAAATCAAAATGATGGCCTGAGTCAAATTTAATATAAATTTGTCTCCTGTAGGACCTGCTTAGGAATGGGGAATTCAAAATTTATGAATTGCCATTGAGTGGGTCTCAAGAGTTCCAACATCTATTTGTCATAAATTTCATTCCAAACTTGGCTTCAGTTTAAAAAAAAGCTCATCAGAATTTGTTTTTGCGGATCAGGATAATTATTGCAACATCCAAACACTTGGTCTTATATTAACCTAGATTTGAAGTTTCTGCAATAAAGCACCATGACTGCTTTGTTTGGTAGAATGTAAATCACTGTTCTGATTGATCCCCACCCCTCATGCGGCAGAGGCTACAAAGTTGGCACGAACCTGTCAGAAAGCAAAGCAATAGAACAAAGATACACCGATACAAACATGGAACGTTGCACTGAACCAATGGGATTTGCTGACTCATACCTGGCCAGTTAAGTGCATTTCGTGCAAATTCGACAACTGCCAACTGCATTCCAAGGCAGACACCTAAACAGACAAAACAAAAAAAACTCAGCGATCTCGTTATCATTTACAAAACAAATGCATACTGATCATTGGGGGTGGGGGAAGCATTAGTCGAAATTGTCTTAAAACAGCATGAGGCATTGATAAGGGATACAGTGAGATGTAACAGTGAGGGAGGCATCAAACTCAAGGCCCTTTCTCCCCCATTCAGCCACACACAGGGAGGTTGATATGTTTAACACATGGATTTTTTTTTGGGGGGGGGGCAGTGATGGGCTGAGTTTACCAAGAAGGACTCTCCTTACAAATGTCGAGTTAAGCTCACCCTCAGGCGTCTCTCTGTCTAACGAGACAGCAGTCATCTGGAACTATAGCAACTTTACACTTTACTCACTCAGTATAAATAGTGTTAATGCTGCTCTCTTAGTGCCACTGATACATCACTACTTTTCAGGGAAGTGATTCAAGGCTTTTAATATGGAATAATGTGTGCTATAATTTTAAAAATTCAATATCTAATACTATCCAAGGTCCTGTCGTAGAATGTTTCAAAGTGATCTGAATTTAAACAGAAGACAGATTTAACACAAAACTAATTCAACAAGTAACAAAGGCAACGAAGCCATAACATCCCACCAAAACAAGTTTAAAAAAACACTTTAACTCAATTTTTCGTTATCCGAGAATGTGAACTATTCAACTGAAACGATCCTGCACTCAGTGAGCAGATTAGGAAGTTGGAAATGCACTCCACAATTTTCTAACGTTATAATTCATGAGAGCGCCAGATCACAGAACCACCTATGCTATTCTGTTGCTGTCCAGGTTTGATGGAAGTAGTCAAAATATTGGATAAACCAGACACTATAATGATTGCTTGCAGATCTAAGAGGGGGAGGCGATGGCCTAGTGGTAGTATTGCTAGACTATTAATCCAGAAACTCAGCCAATGTTCTGGGGACCCAGGTTCAAGTGCAATGACCATCTCCAGCAAGAGATAATCTAAAATTGTCACTTGACATTCAATGGTGTTACCATCACCGAATACCCCACTGTCAACATCCTTGGGTTACCATTGACCAGAGCCTGAACTAGACTTGCCACAGACACAGTGGCTACAACAGCAGATCAGAGGCTAGGAATACTGCAGTGAGTAACTCACCTCGTGACTCACAAAAACCTGCCTACTATCTACAAGGCGCAAGTCAGGAATGTAATGGATTACTTCTCACTTGCCTGGATGAGTGCAGCCTCAACAACACTCAAGAAGTCTGACACTATCCAGGACAAAGTAGCTTACTTGATTGGCACCACGTCCACAAGCATCCACTCCGTCCACCACGAACACTCAGTAGCAGCACTGTGTACTATTTACAAGATACACTGTAGAAATTCACCAAAGATCCTCAGACAGCACCTTCCAACCTGCAACCACTTCCATCTAGAAGGGCAGAGGGCAGCAGATACATAGGAACACCACCCCCTGCAAGTTCTTCTTCAAGCCACTCATTATCCTGACTTAGAAATATATTGCCATTTCTTCACTGTTGCTGAGTCTTAGTCCTGAAATTCCTGCCTAAGGGAATTGTGCGTCTACTTACAGCGCATGGGCTGTGGTAGTTCAAAAAGGCAGCTCATCACCACCATCTCAAGGGGGCAACGATGGATGGGCAGTAAATGTTAGTTTAGCCAGTAACACCCATATCCCATGGATGAAGAAACAAGCAATGAGCATACTCACTTTAGACAATGAATTTCAGGCCTGTATTTTAAGACTATTTTGATATGGAAATGATGGTCTGAGTCACGATTTATCTCCTGCTTACAATGGAGAATTTAAAAATTATGAATTATGAGTTGTTTCCTGAAGTTCCACATTATAAATTTCATTCCAAAGCTGGCTCAGTTTAAAATTTAATAACAATTTGATTTTGCGAATCTGAACAGGTATTACAACTTCCACATGCTTCACCAGTATTTTATGGGAGTGCTGCACAACAGACTGGTGCTAAGATAACAATGGAACATCAAGGTAAAAAAGTGCCTTCAAGGATATGGGTTTTCAGGAGTCCTGAAGGAACAGACAGAAGCAAAGGGGTTTAGGGAGGGAATTCCAGAGCGTAATCCCTCAGCAGATGAAGGCACAGCCACCAACACGGAATAGGGTCAAAAAGGCACAAAAACACCTCTTCTTCCTCAGGTGGCTTCAGAAATTCGGCACATGCATAAGGAACCTCACCAACTTTTACAGATGCACCGTAGAAAGCATTCTATCTGGATGCATAGACTAGAGAAAGTTGCGCACACAGCCCAGACCATCATGAAAACCAACCTCCCATCCATGGACTCCATCTACACCTCTCATTGCTGCGGAAAGGCTGCCATCATCATCAAAGACCCCTCCCACCACGGTAATACTCTCTCCAACCTCTTCCATCAAACAGAAGATACAGAAGCTTGAACACATGCACCAACAGGTTCACCCTGCCGTTATTAGACTCTTAAGGAGGTCCATTCATTTTAAATCTGACACTGATTTTACTTTGTGCACCTTCTGTGCAGCTGTAACCCTGTATGCCTCGCTCTGTCTAAGCACCCTATGATCTGTATGTCCTCGTTTGCTATGTTGCCTGTACTGCTTGCAAAACAAAACTTTTCACTGTCCTTAGGTACATGGGACAACAATAAATCTAATCAAATCAAATCAGGGAACACAGATGGAAACATGCTGTATTACAATGAGTTAAACCTAAACTCGTACCTAAAAACGGCTTCTTCTGTCTTCTGGCCCAAGCGATGGCGAGAATCTTTCCCTCTGTGCCTCGAAAACCGAAACCACCAGGAACCAAGACTCCGCTATAAGGAACACCAGGTGTTTAGAGGTCACTACACTACAGGAACAACAGTGCATGCAGTATACCAATCCCCTTTTTTAAAGTTTACTCAATAGATAGGTTTCTTTGAAAACTCCCAAAGATTTTTAAATTGATTGTTCGTATCAAATGTATCACTTAATAGGAAGAGGTGACAAAATAGAATTCTCCCACAATTTCCTGTTTTGTAATCGCGTAATAAGGCTACATTATTTGACACTTACTTTTGATCCATTTGAGTTTTCAAAACAACGTCTTCCTGGGATTTCACATTGAAATCTTGACCAAAACTAAGATTCTTCTCGAAACACTAATTTTACCCCGAATGCTTACTAACTTCAAATTTCAGAGGGCAGCCTGTGAGATCTGTAAAATGTTGCTGCAACACTTCTTAAGCAGTTTTCATTGCTCTAACAAGTTTATACATGCTGCTAATTTACTGTCAGAAAAATCAAAACAAAATGTTGGAACTACAAAGCAATGTGTGCAGATTGCAAAGGCTAAGGTATTTATTCACCTCATAAGAAACGTACATAGAGATCATTTTACTGGGATAAAATCCTTGTTCTTATGGACAAATCATTAAAGATAGAAACATTTTAAGTGCTTACTTGGCACTACACAGGTTCTGCCAAGCTTCATGGTATTTGACAGGCTCATCTAGCTGTCTACAAGGTTCCAAATCTGCGGAGTCAATATACTGCGAAGAAAAATTATGAGTTTTTACTTGCACTGAATCTTACACAATACACCAAAACAGGACAACAGATCAGCAACATTAAAAATCTGTGGTGTGATGGAGTCTCCTTAAGAAAACAACTTTCACATCTCTTATAAATTTACCTCTTTTAATTTAGTGCACTGTATCCACTGCTCACATGGTATCCCCTACATTGGGGAGGTCAAATACAGAAATGGGGTGACCACCTTTGCAACAACCTTTGTTCAACTTGCAAACTGCAGCCCTGAGCTTCTAGCCCCTTGTCATTTCAATTCTCCATCGACCTCTGGATGTTTGTGTAAAGGTAAGGTCAGTGGGTAATTATAATTTACCTTCAGCCACCCAAGCATCACCTCTTGGTAGATGCCAACTGTTAGTTAGTGTAATTGTACTAACGTTGTCAGCTTGGAGGTACCTCATCCAAATAGCAATCCTTTGCAACCCAGACAGTGATGCGCACTGATACCTTCCATATCTTGCCAAATGTTTAGTTTTCAAAAAAAGTGATGAAATGGACAATGACCGAGAACCAGGAATCCTGGCGGAATATTCCCTTCCTCACCAAACAGCTGAGAGACAAGGGGTCCCATTTCAGAGGACATATAATTGGGAGTGAGTGCCAGTGTTCTGACTACCCATACACTCAGCACTGGAGATTGACAGGTGCTAACCACTATTTTCAGACTGAGGGGAAAATACATCCAAATTGTTTTCCAAGCCCTCTCTTTCTTATCTGCTCTTCACAGGGCGGGATTCCCTGAGAATGGGGCACAGAACAGGGATTAGAGAAGCAAAGGGAGCTCTTACAGACGGAGTATGTACAGAACAGAAGAGACTTGCTGATAACAGCAATAGCGGTTCTGCCTGGTCAATGGTGACTTATTTTAAATGTGTGAGCCTTGATATGACTCTCCTAACAATATCCTCTCTGTATTTAGCTGGTGGTACAGTGGGAGATATTGAGAGCATGCCTTTCATTGAAGCATTCTATCAGTTCCATTCAAAGCCAAAAGAGAGAATTTCTGCAATAATTATGTCAGTTTCGTTCCACAGATGATTATTTTTTCATTCAAGGGATGGGTGTGTCTCTGCCTAGGTCAGCATTTATTGCCCATCCCTAATTGCCCAGAGGGGAGATAAAAGTCAACCACATTGCTGTGCATCTGGAGTCACATCTAGGCCGGAGCCAGTAAGGACGATAGAAGAAAACAAAAGCAGATGGCTAGAAATCAGAAAGAGAAACAGAAACTGAAACTGCTGGGAAAACTCAGCAGGTCTGGCAGCATCTGAGGAGAGGAAACAGGGTTAATATTTCAGGTGTGTTTCTGAAAAAGGGTCACTGGACCCTAACCCCCAGCTTTCTCTCCACGCTGCCAGATGTGCTGAGTTTTCCCAGCAATTTCTGCTTTTCTTTAAGGTAAGGGCGACAATTTCCTTCCCTAAAGGGGACATCAGTGAACCAGATGAGTTGTTACAATAACCAGCAGTTGTTACATACTCATCATTAAGCTAGCTTTCCCTTGTTTCAGATTTTTATTGAATTCAAATTTCACTGACCCCAGAACGTTAGTCAGTTGTTCTGGATTATTAACCTAGTAACATAACCACTATGTCACTATCTCCTTACTGATACTTGAGACTTGGGAGGATGTATACATTGTTACTGGGCTGGATTTTGCTCGGAATGGCTTTAGATTTGCTGTTACCCAGAGACTTTCAATGAGCCTTACCATGACAAGTTAGTGTCTCAAACCAGCCAGACAGCACAGTGCCTTCTACAAGCCACACGGGAGCTGTATGAATGGGGAAGGCAACTGTGGATCTCCTTAACTAGACAGATTGATGAGTCATTAATGGGCATTACATTGAGAGGAAATGTTTGTTAGAGTCGTGACAGCAATGTTAAAGTTGCTACAAAAAACAGTATAAAGGATAAGAAAGATTGAACTAAGGATGCTAGAGAGTAAGTAAAAAAATCATTTGACGAGTCTCCAATAATATTTAAAAGCCGAAGGAATTCCACTCTACACTTGTGAAAGTTAATAATAAGTGCAAGAGTATTTGCTTGGCAGTAATCAAGTCTTGGCACGATGTTAAAAGGATACTCAGACTGGAAGACTCAAACTCTAAGGTTTGCATTGAGTTTAATTCAGAGCGATGACATCAGGACAGGAAATCTGTTACATTTTGAGCCAGGTGGAGCACAGCTTTTTGGAGAATAAATGAAACTTGCGCTGCATCTTCTGACCTAGGACTGTGCACGCATATTGGCCAAAAGCTTTTGTGTGACTTGTTAATAATGACGAGTGCATGCTGTTAACATTACTTTTATTTCTGAAGCAAAATCCCTTCCCAAAACTGATTTCCTGTAGGACGTGCTGGGGAAAAAAAAAGTTTTAGCTTTTCCTGTTTAATTGTTCTTTTCCCTCCCACAGCATGGGGATTACCTCTCTTAAGCTTATCCAATGCAAATGAAATGCAAGATTCAACTAAACCACTGCCCAAGAGTGTGGTGGAGGCAGGCTCAATTGAAGGTCTCAAGAGATCAGATCATTAATTGAAAAGGCAACAGTTGACAGGGGACAGACAGGGGAGTGAGATAAGGTAAACTGCTTCTTCAGGGGGTGAACACAGAATTGTGTTGAATGACCTTCTTCCATGCTGTAACCCTATGATTTCAAGAAAACATTCTATTTTCAGACACCTTTACATCCCTCTAGACTATTGTGGCACATGTCTTAAACTGTAAGGCAGTTCATATTGAATAAGATTATGTTTTTGTTTGAAGACAGATGAGATGTTTTCTAAATTTCATCTTAAAACGTTTGCAAACAGCAACTGACCATCTAGTCATATGACTCTGGGCAAACTATGATTTAGTTTAAAAAGATTTGCCAAACATAATTTTAAAACTCCATTTAGCAGTTTAACGTGTGGTAAAGAAATACGCTGACAACGTGTAATTTAAGGGATGATAAATTAGCAGTTACTCAACTCACCTTGACTTCCAGTTTCTGGTTAATAGCCAAAGCTGAATGTTCCAAAGCCTTTATGACCGAAGCGTAGGAGTCAGAGAGTTTGGTATATTTACCAACCAACGCAATGGAGCAAATCTCTAATGTGCGATCATACCTGGTTTTAGATTTTGCAATTGGAATAAAAGAGAATAGGACATGTCACAGAAACAGACAAGCTGAATAAGATGTATAAGTTTCACAATTTAACATGAATAAATAAAACGTTGTACTGGATCTCCCGAGAGAGGACATCAAGTAAGATTCACTATTGGGACAAATGAAGAAAGGATATGCGCTCATAGGTTGAGAGAGATGTACTTAGTTAGGACCTTCCCAAAGCAGTTTACAATCAATTAAGTACTTTCAAAGTGCAGCTACTATTGCAACATCAGGAAAAAAAAAGCATTCAATAAGGTCCCATTGCAATTAGATCAATGATCAAAAAACTGATTTTAGCAAGGGAAAAAAAAACTGTCACGGAATGTGGAGAACTCCTCTGCCGTCTTTCGAATAGCACCATAGGAGTCAAAGGGATCTCAGTCTAATAGCTTCTCTCAAAGATGGCACTTTCAGTGCAGCACTCCCTCTATTATTAGACTAGAGGGTCAGCCTGAGATTCAGAAAATTAGGAATCCAAACTTCCATAATTTTTTATTCAAGTTTTTTTTAAATGATCACTTGAAGCATGTGATGAGAACATTAGTGATTCTGTGATAGAGTTAAATTAAATAACAATGCTGTTGAAGTGTTGAAGTTACAGGGTAACTAAACCCAAATGAGATATATTGCATCAATTTCTTGGAATAACAGTGTTAAAGGTTTTCTGGTAGTAGATTATAATGGACATAAAGGGTTTTTATTTCTCATTTACTGCCCTGGTTGGATTAAACTAAAAAGCAGCAAAAAACTTAATTGGAACCACTTCTGAATTTATTCGCAAAGAACTTCGCTCAAACCTCCGTTATCAATCAAATGTCGCATCCCTAATTCCCAATCAAATGACCACTGTCATTAACGAGATATTTTGTGGAAACAATGTCGCATTTTACAATTAGATATTTCTGGGCCTAATCCTGAGCTCAACCTTTTCAAATCATAGCCAATGCCCTAACGCCCTAATGTTTTCAACGAGTATCTGTTGGGAACGATAGAGCTTTTCCAATTTACACTTATTGTGAAGCCTGTGTTTGTTTCTTTTCCTGGCCCTTTACTAACTCTTTTTGCCTTAAAGCATCATCTCTTTAATGCTTTAATTGCTCCTATCCTTCCACCTCTTTCACTGTTCCTCCCCTCCCACTTTCTATTTACACACTTGCTTAAAATTGGTTACAATTCGAATATTTTTCTGTTATCTGCTGATCTCCTCTGATTTGGTGCATGTTATGTCCTGGAAGAGGGAATATACAGTCAACGTGATTTGTAAGGATTTCAATTATTGCTTACATGAATCAGCTGGAGATAGATAACTTGGTGTCATTATTTTCACTATTAAATTTAACTCATTATACAAAAAACCATTGCATATAGCCTTTATCTGTGATGTTAATGCGCATCAAGGGAGATAACCTACTATGGAGATATCACTTTGTCAAATGTTCAGTTCACATTTACATGTCATTGAAACACGACAGAACTGTCCAAATGATGTTCTGAGGCTTGAAATTTAGTAATATTTGGGGACTTGACACAAAGGGACTGTGGATCCCTGGATATTTTTCCAGGAAATTGGAACAATTATTTTAACCAGGCTTTTCTTTATAGTCACATGCCTTATGATAATTGTTTATTGATGAAACTATCTGTCTGTGTTTACAACAGTCAGGTTCCAGTTCCTGTTTTCAATATTGTTTGGAGTAGTTGGGGAAAAGCCTGCAGAAAGAAAGAAGCTTCCCAGCTCAGCTCTCCTGTTTCTGGAGAAGAACAATTGTAGTGGGTCCAATGAGATACCTGGAGCCTTGTCCAACTGCTCTTCAAAGAGTTGGCCCAAATTTCATGAATGAATGCATCTACAAAACTCTCCAGAAACAACTCTGGGGTGGCATGGTGGCTCAGTGATTAGCACTACTGCCCCACAGCGCCAGGGACCTGGGTTCAATTCCAGCCTCGGGTGACTGTCTGCGTAGAGTTTGCACATTCTCCCCGTGTCTGCGTGGGTTTCCTCCGGGTGCTCCGGTTTCCTCCCACAGTCCAAAGATGTGGAGGCTAGGTTGGCCATGCTAAATTGTCCATAGTGTCCGGGGATGTTTAGGTTGGGTGGGTTAGACATGGGAAATGCAAGGGTTAGGGGAATGGGTCTGGGTGGAATGCTCTCTGGAGGGTTAGTATGGATTGTTAGGCTGAATGGCCTGTTTCCACACTGTACGGATTCTATAAACTATGTGTTCAGAGATATTTGCCTTTATGTGCGACAACATCAGACCTACAGTGACTTAAGCATCACAAACCTTAACTTTTTTACCTTCAGAAACTAAGACTTATTGGCCAAAAGAGCTTGTCTGGAAACTCTGCAGAGAGAAACTTGTTTTTCTTCCTTTAGATTGGGATAACTAGAGGGGTAAACCGTTACATTTAAATTGCGAACTGAGTATGTTAACTAATTTTGCACCTTTGCAGAATAGGTTTTGTTTTACAACAAATCCATAATTTCGTGTTTTTCAAGACACCTGGTGATGGATCTTTTTATTTTATATCTGACATGGTGACAGTGTATGGATGGCCAGATTGAGTACTAGGTACAACAATTAAGTTCAGAAATGAAAACAGAAATTGCTGGGAAAACTCAGCAGGTCTGGCAGCATTTGTGGAGAGAAATCAGAGTTAACATTTTGGGTCAAGTGACCCTTCCCTAGAAGGGAGCTTTAGGAAAAATTGGTTATGCAGACCTCAGGAAAGAACGCAGTCTAGCATGAAAATACCACATTTCATTTTACATTCTAATTTATAGTTTAACCAAGTTAAACAGGTTGGAACTCTACTCACTGGAATTGAGGAGAATGAGAGTTGATCATATTGAAACATGTAAGATGCATAAGGGGCCTGAAGGGGGCATTATCTCAGAATGAAGGGGTGCTAATTTAAGACTAAAATGAGGAATTTCTTCTCTCAGGGGTGTCTTTGGAACTCCATGCCACAGAAAGCTGTGGGGGTAGAGTCCTTGTGGATATTTAAGACTGAGATAGATTGATTCCTGATCAGTCAGGGAATTAAGGGTTATGGAGAAAGTGCAGAAACATGGACAAGAAGAACATTGGATCAGGCACAATATCATTGAATGTTGGACCAGGGTCAAGGGGCTGAATGGCCTACTCCTGTTCCCATTTTGCATGGTGTATGGTCTAACTAAAGTAGCTGGCTCTGATAATCCCAATTGAGACTCAGTGTGTAGTTTGTTGCCTGATTAGTATCTTATTAGCTTGAAGCAACACCTCACCTGCGTGAACATAAATGCCAAGATTCATGCGCAGTTCACAGCAAGGTTTACTCCTGGTGTCTACTTTTTGCAGCGAGCTCAAGAAAAATGGACTGGAGGATGCCATTCTGCCTATTCTGCTATTCCATTATATCATGGCTGATCTGGTGAGTCTGGAGTCACACACAGGCCAGACCAGGTAAGGATGGCAGTTTCCTTTCATAAAGAGTGCTAGTGAACCAGATGAGTTTTTCCAACAATTGACAACGGTTTCATGGTTATCATTAGACTCTTAATTCCAGATTTGTTATTGAACTCAAACTCCCACCATATGCTACGGCAAGATTTGAATCACTAGGTCATAAAACGATGGTGTTCCACTCTGAGGCCAATATACCTTGCCTGAGGTGTGGTGCATTTCAGTGGCCCAAACTGTAGCTATTCAGAATCTAATTCTCCATCAGTATCAGCTCTCAAACTGATAAAACACAAGAAATATAAAACGATCAAAAGGCACCAACAGCGATAAAAAAGAGGGTTTAAAAGCAACCTTTCACTCCCTAACCAACAAAAGTAGCCTTCTCATTAGATCTTACAAGAACACCAGTACTGTAGGACTAATTACACAGAACTTCTTTTGCAGGTGAGATACAGGTTGAATTTTGTTTTCTTGAAATCCACTCATCATTTAAAACTAAATTCAAACGACCCTTTTGAACATGTTATGATACACTCCAGAGCAGATGCAAGTTGAACCCAGACTCTGGCCCAGAGATAGCACACTGCAATGGACAACAAGAGCCCCTCCAGTTCATCTTATATAGGTATATTAATAAGTCTCAGGCACATCGAAGTTGTGCACTTAAATGTCAAGAGGTAAAAATTTTCAGAATGAAGCCTTGGATTCCTGCACTTCATAGAATCCCTACAGCGTGGAAGCAGGCCATTCAGCCCATCGAGTCTACACTGACCCTCCAAAGGGAATCCAACCCAGGCCCACACCCCCTACCCTAACCCTATAGCCCCATATTTCCCTTGGCTAACCCAACTAGCCTGCCCATCTCTGGACACTATGGGCAATTTAGCATGGCCAATCCACCTCATCTGCACATCTCTAGTGCAAATCCAGGCAGACACGGGGAGAATCTGTGAACCCCATCCAGTCGCCTGAGGGTAGAATCTTACCTGGGTCCCTGGCCCTGTGAGGCAGCAATGCTAACCACTGAGCCACCGTGCCTACGCACTGGCTGATAAGTGACATGTCTGTTTTACTATCGTGGAATTATTCTAATGTTAGTGTCTAAAATAAAAGTATCCCTTTCCCGTGAGTATTACACACCAAACGAGTGTTACTGTACCTATCTGCCATCTCTTTCCACTTGTTCAGTAGTCTTCTAGAGTTCGCTTCAAACTGGAGGTTGAGCCTCTCCTTAAAATAGCCCACCACACCTTCTGCTTCAAGTAATAAGGGGACTCGGTAGAGGGAACAGACATCATACACACAGATGACCTGCAATCAAGCACAGCATGTAAGGTATTTGTAGAGAAATGCCACTGCAGGAAAAACCATGTACATGTATCCCAAACTACTCTAGGAAATGATTGGGAAATGCCAAACTGTAAGAGACGTTGGAAAAATGTTGAAAAGTCATTGGCAGACAGTCAATTTCACCAAAGATCTTCAGACAATACCTTCCAAACCCACGACCACTTCCATCTAGCAGGACAAGGGCAGCAGATATGTGGGGACACCACCACCTTCAAGTTCCAACCCAAAATACTCACAATCCTCACTTGGAAATATATCGCCATTCCTTCACTTTCACTGGGTCAAAGTCCCAGAATTCCCTCCCTAAGGGCATTGTGGGTCAACCCAGCAACTGCAGCGGTTCAAGAAGGCAACACACCCCCACCTTCTTAAGGGCAACTAGAGACAGGCAATAAATGCTGGCCAGCCAGCGACACCCACATCCCGCAAACGAATAAAAAAAAAATGAGCCCCTTGAAAGCTTATTACACAAACATTTCAAAGCAACTTTTTCAAAAGATGATGGAAGGGGATCTTTCTTTTAAAAATCCATATTTACTTCAGATTGATCACATTGATAAAATTAAAGAACATTTGAGGCACAAGTTGTTCTGTCCTTCATTTGATTCCTCTTCCCTTGAACTGCTTCCTAGACACAGCCAATGATATTTTGAAATTACTAACCAGGAGGGACAACATTCAAAGGATATTATCAGAAACAGCTGGGTGTAAGCATCAGAAAAGAGCAATAGGTTGGGTCTCCATCCCCTTGGAAAACGCTCGAGGAATGACCAAAAGTTTTCAAAACCGTAAAAGGTTTCGATAGAGTGGACTCAGAGTGAATGATTTCAGTTGTGGGGAAGAGCAGAACTAAAGATCGACAATATAAAATCATCACCAAGAAAGCCAATAGGAAGTTCAGAAGAAATGTCTTTACCAAAGAGTAGTGAGAATGAGAAACTTGTTAACACAGGAGGTGGGTGAAGAAAATAGTTGGGATGCATCCAAGGGTGAGCTACACATGCATCTGAGTGGAAGCAAACAGAGGGTAATGCTGGTGGATTTACAAGACAGAAGATAGGAGAAGGAGGCTTGAATGCAGCATAGGTGCCAACATCAACTGCTTGGGCTGAATGTTCTGTTTTTGTGCTATGTAAAGGCAGCTTGGGTGAATCACTGTTTGACTTCTTTCCTGGTAGGTGCTCACTTTGCTACTCCTCGATTGCTAACCCGATGCACAATAATATCACTCATCAGACAGAGCCCACTGATCAACATCATAGAATCCCTACAGTGTGAAAGTCACTCTATTTCTACATAGAGCAACTTGGAGTCAAGATTTTAATAAACAGAACCAAAACAAAAATCTTAAATATTTAGGCATCCTGACAATGCCCATTCTCCCTGTGCAAAGCATTCTGGAAAATCTTCCAACTTTAAAAACACCGAATGTACAGTCATTCCTCCATATGAGCGAGGGTTCCATAAATCATGACAAACAACGAAATTTGCAAGTGTGGAGCGCGATAAAAATACAGGTTATAAATAGATTAAAAATCGTGGATACACAAGTTTGCCTGCAGATGTTGAATTTTGTTGCTACTTGCTTTTTTGCATGGATTGGCAAATTCACACGTGGTGAACTTGCGAATACAGAGGACTTACTGCATAATATCTATTAATAGAGCAGCTTTAGGGTAACAAAACCTTCCAAAATACTTCAAAGTAAATAAAAACATAGGGTTGTTAATGGCACTGACTTTCAGGAAACTCAAACTAAACTGCCCCCTTTTCTATTTTAATTTGTGGTATCACAAGCTTCAAAGAATGACTTCATGACATTCCTCTGTCCAATAGTGAATTATTCTCTTGATAAGTTCTCTCGAGCGAATATTATATCAATTCTGAAGGCTGCCAGAACTCTTAAACACTGAGTTTAGTTAGACAAAGTCTAAACTATAGTTTTCTGGTCAGAGATTTATTTCAACCTACACGTCGCAAAACTCCAACCTCACTGATTCCTTGTTCCCGTACACAAATGTTTCTTTTAAGAGAAATTGTACCGGTCAGGTAGCGTGTGTGGAGGGAAAGCCGATTTTTGAAGAAGGGTCACGTGAAACGTCATCTCTGCTTTCTCTCCAAAGATGCTGTTCAACCTGCTGAATCTCTCCAGCAATCTGTTTTGGTTTCACATTTCCAGCTTCCCCAGTTCTTTGCTTTTTATAAATATTTTTAATTAATTTGTTCAGATGAGTTACAACAATGCTTTGGTGCAGGTGGGATTTGAACCCAAGTGTCCTAGCCCAAGGTAGGGTCACTAATAACAGCACGAAGCTCATTCCAAACCGAAACGGAAGGCATTAGCCTACTGGTATTATTGCTAGACTATTAATCCAGAGACCAAGGTAATGTTCTGGGGATTCAGGTTTGAATCTCACCATGGCAGGTGGTTAAGTTTGAATTCAATAAATATCTGGAATTACGAGTCTAATGATGACCATGAACTAACTGTCAATTCTCGGAAAAACCCAAATGGCTCATTAATGTCCTTTAGTGAAGGAAACTGTCATCCTTACCTGGTCTGGCCTACATGTGACCCAAATCCTCAGCAAATGGTTGACTCTTATCTGCCCTCTGGGCAATTGGGGATGAGCAATGATTGCTGGCCTCGCCTGCAAAGCCCACATCCCATGAATAAATAGAAAAATAAACCAACCCTCTAAAGTTTCTCCTCATCTCACTTCTCGCTGTCTTGCTGATAATCTTGAAATTATGACCCCGAGGTACTTACATACAAACTACTGGAAACAGAAAACCCTTCTTTACCCTGTCAAATTGTTCACAATTTTGCACACCTCAATCGGATCACCTTTTCACCTACTCTGCTCTAAGGAGAATGAACACAATTTCTCTGATCTTTTCTTGTATCTAAAATCCCTCATTCCTGGCATCATTCCTGTAAAACTCCTTTGAACTCTCTTCAGGGCTTTAACATCCTTCCTTAAATAAAGTGCACAGAACCAAACACAACACTGCAAACGTGATCTGACCCAAAACTCAAACCCTCAACGGGTTAGGAATCACTATGGAGAGAAAAGCAAAAAAAAAAAATTAGGGCGATGAATTTAGCTGAAGAATAAACAGTCACCGATCTGATAGAAACCTTAACTGTGACTCCCTCTCCCCAGACACTGTCAGAGTATTTCCAATATTTTTTGACTTAGCTTCAGATTTACTAAATCCACAACATTTTGCTTTAGTATTTTTACTCATTAAGTAACGCCTGCTTTTAATTTTACCTGTTCGGGTTCTACATGGCAGAACATAGAGATCTTTTCTTTGACAGATTTCTCCATGGGAGTTGTGCAGCGACAGACAATCTACAGAGAAAGTGAGTGCAACATTAGAAACACAGTTTATTAGACAGTCTGATACATACATTTCGATAAATGTACCTTACAAAGGTAAATATTGCTGCTTCCACTGCAGCGTATCTGCAGATGGATAACAAGTCAGCAGGGGGTGTTTTATACACTTACAGTCATAGAGTCAAAGAGATATACAGCATGAAAACAGACCCTTCGGTCCAACTTGTCCATGCTGACCAGATATCCTAAATTAATCTCGTTCCATTTGCCAGCATCTGGCCCATATCCCTGTAAACCCTTCCTACTCATGTACCCATCCAGATGCATTTTAAATGTTGTAATTGTACCAGCCTCCACCACTTCCTCTGGCAGCTCATTCCATATATGCACCACCCTCTGCATGAAAAGGTTGCCCCTTTGGTCCCTTTTAAATCTTTCCCCTCTCATCCCAAACCTATGCCCTCTAGTTTTGGACTCCCCTACCCTGGGGAAAATACCTTGGCTCTTCACCCTATCCATGCCCCTCAGGATTTTACAAACTTCTATATGGTCACCCCTCAGCCTCTGACGCTCCAGGGAAAATAGCCCCAGCCTATTCAGTCTCTCCCTGTAGCTCAAACCCTCCAACCCTGGCAACATCCTTGTAAATCTTTTCTGAACCCTTTCTAGTTTCACATCTTGCTGTTAATGCTGGTTAGACAATGAAATACGATAAAAATACTCTTGAACTTCTATTCATAGTGAACTCTACTATGGAGAAGTGCTGTGTTCTGCTGGAGGACAAACTGTTTGACCTTTTAATTATTACTACAACTGCATTAAAAGTGTGGACCACAGGATTAGTTTAGAATTGCATCATGGTTAACACAGATATGGTGGGCCGAAGGGCCTGTTCCTGTGCTCTACAGATTTATGTTCTCTATCTTGCAGCAGAGACATCCTTCAACTATAACGAACAAAAAAAAAACAAACACATAAAAGCAGCAAAAAGAAACAGATCAGACATTGGATATTTCTATACTTTGGAATAATTAATAATCTAACTTTGTACAGCAATGTTACATTCGAACTAGCAGCATCGAAATGATTGTGTTTCAGAAGTTATTTCTCAATGTCTCTCATCCACAGAAAGGTTTCAACACTCATCAGCAAAGGCAGCCCCTCCTGATTGAACCCCATTGTTACAAAATAAACATAACCGTTGTAGCTTTTTCTAAATAAGTAATGTTTTGGAGCGGTGACAAATAGATCAACTAGAAAAACATCAAAGATCAAAGAAATTGATGAATATTGACAAGTCAAAAATTTGTACAGAATTATCTTCATTTCTTCACTTCTTGGCATATATCTGCCTTTGATAACAATCCTTCATTTATCCAGTGGTATCTACTCTTCCTTTCACATCTGATCTTTCACACACGCTTCTTCCTTCCCCTTGTGCCCCCTCCTATGTCTGCTCCATCAATGCTGTATCTCTCTCTGATCTTCAATTTGCTCTTTCTCAGTCCTTTTGTTATCTCCGTTTGCTCCCTTTCTTTTTTGACTTTCCCACCCTTTTTAATTTAATTTTCCTCACACTGCAGTTTTATTAACCTAAGCAGAAAAGCATGAGCGGTTTTCCCCACCAACTGGATACCAGACAAATGAATAATGTGACGTATGTGTTTCAGTGTCAGAATGATGCCAGGACTGTAGGCGTTAAGTTCCATCTGGTAGACCATACCAAACAACCTGTTCGTTGAACGTTCGAAGAGTGCACCAATCAAGTCATAGTTAGTCAACTAACCCATGCTTGTAGGCCTCAGAACAGTGATTCAGTTATTGGAAATAATTTATCAAATAATCTAGACTGCACTGAGAGCTACACCAGAAACCAATTTAAGATCATCAGTTGGGCTCACAGTGTAATGCATTTGCTAGAAGCTATACGTGTCAATACACAGGACCCTGTTTATGTAGGTAAAAGGAATTTGTAAATATATTATGTTGTTTCTTTAAAAAGGGCCATGGGGAAAGCCTGTCCTCACCACATCCCATGGCAACACCCTAACCAATCAGAATCTACCTGCCTGGATTGAGAATGGAGATTGACAGTTAACTGTTCTTACTGCATCGCCATGCCAACAACAGCCTGAACAATCAACACCCTTGTCTCATGCTGTACAAAATGGTGCCCCTTTGTTCAAGTGCTCCTTGTATCTTAGCACTTAGACAAAAAGCCTCAACTTCTTGTTTCCTTGTGGCAATGTTTAAATTCTGTCTTACCAAGCAATTATTTCAATGCAACCTCTAGCTAACGGTGAGTAGCCTGTCTTTACTGCTCTTTTCTTCTGCTTCAAATAGTCACACCATAGGACAAAGGTTCAATCTTTATTGTCAACTAGCTAACAGCTCATTTCTCTTTGAAACGATTCCAACAACCGGGTTAAAGATAATTCTGAACTTCAACAACTTTGAAAATGGATATCTTACTCTTGATGAGTAAAGGTCATGAAGGTTAGTCGTGGAGTTGAGGTAATTTGCTGACAACGGAACTGGTATTTGCAAAACTGAAGCACGCAAACTTTGCACCTAACTATGACTCACTCTTTGCAGTGACCATTTGCCATTTCCATTAGGTACACTCCTTAAAGCAGGCCATTACTTTTCACTTACCAAATCTGGTGACAGTCCTAGGCCTCGCAGTTCCCGAACACTGTTTTGGGTTGGTTTTGTTTTTTGTTCCCCCGTTGTACTTGGCTACAAAGAAAAAGTCAACTGGTTTGTGCGTGTGCAGTACGTTACCCGCAGTAAAGTCAAGAACATGCATGTTAACTGCACATGAATACCATAATATCGGATGTTGTAACATTGAAGGTGTTCATTTTCACATGAACTGCTGAAAATAAACAAAGTGGACTCAGCAAACTTTGAAACCGCTTTGACAAGTCATCCCAATCAGATAACTTTAAATAATACTGCCCTTTGTGCTTTGAAACACAGAGAACAGCCACATCACTTCATAATACACACAACACATCAGAACAAACCCAAGCCAACTCAACTCAATTAGGTCAAGCAGGTTTGTAGATACACCAATGGACTTCAGAATCATTGCCATTACATGACACTGCTCCGCAAAACAATTCAGTCAGTATCATTCCCTCACTCTAGTCCTATAATCCTGCATGTTTACCTGCCCTGAGTGCCCACTGAATTACAGAATACCAATATATCAGCCTGGCCTTCAACTCTTGATAAGAACACAAAGAAGAAGGACACAATTATTTTGATCGTGGATGATCCTGGGCTACACTTACTCGCCTGCTCCCCATATCCCTAAATTTTCCAAGACCAAAAATCTGACTATCCCAGTCGTAAAAATATTCCTTAATCCTCCTGGGTATAGCATTCCAAAAATCAAAACCAACCCGCTCTAGAAGCATTTGTGGAGAGAAACAGCTGAATTGTGACATTCCCCACAGACAAGAACCACACTGACATGTACTGTAGATGGCTGCTTCGAACCGAGTCTGATGCTCCATTGCTAGATGTGGAATGCGAGCCCAGTCTGACCTGCCATGTATTGGAGTATGTAACATTCCTAGAGAGGAAAGCACTGAGTGTTCCAGAGACCTATTGCTGGAATATCACAAGGAGACACTTTGCAGTCACATAACCTTCTGGGAGAGGTAAAATGTTTTATTTCGCACAGGAAACATTCAGGAACAAACGCAAGGGGAAAGTTAAATGAATAAAAGTATAATTTGTATTATTGTACAAACGTGGCAAGTTTACAGCACAGGAGGACGACATTTGACCAGTTGTCTGTGCTGATTTATGAAGGAGCAATTCACCTCTTGCTACTCTCCTGGCTCTTCCCTATAGCACTGTTAATAATTTCCTTTGCAAATGATGATCTAATCCTTGCCTCCACCACACTCTCAGGCAGTGTTTTAGTTGAATTTTGCAGTGTGTTCCCACTGGAAAAGCTTAAGTACTAGGCAGGATATGTAACACCCATGGTAGATTAATGCACCTAATGGCCATACCTGTATCAAAGAGGTATTGCCAGGAACCTGGAAGATGACCCAGTCTCAGCCAGTCAGGGACAGTGTGCAGGAAGGAAAAGAACAATTATAATTACACTGGAAAAACAAACTCTTTTTCCCAGCATATCAAACTTTTCCTATTAAGGGAAACAGCTCCAGAGGGAATTTGCTTCAGAAATAATAGTAAGGTTCACAGTGCTCACTGGTCATTATTAACAAGTGACACAGCAACTTCTCGAAACCATACAGATGTAGTTAATTGCAAAAATCCAGGACCTGAGCCTGAGACTCACCTCTCTCCAAAGGTTGTGCAAAAGAGGCATTGCACCATCCGTTTCCCCACTCAAATGTAACAGAGTGAATTTCTAGGTCTGACATCATGAGTATGAACTAAATTCAGTACAAACCTTAGAGTTTGTCTATTCCAGTCTGAGTACCTTCCTAATCTCATTAATTCCTGCAAAAAAATACTCTCACACCGATTAATAACTTATATGATGTGCAGTCAAATTCTTTGCACGTTGAAGTATTGTTGGAGATTCAAAAAAATAACATTTTATATTACTTTTCTTTTTAGATCTCTGCCGTTCTTAGTACAATATTACTTAGCTGATTTTTATCTCGTTTCTGTATCAGCTTTAACATTGCTGTCACGACTCTAACAAAAACCTCCTCACAATGTAATGCCCGTTAATGGCTCTTCAATCTGTCTAGTTAAGGAGATCCACAGTTGCCTTCCCCATTCATACAGCTCCCGTGTGGCTTGTAGAGGGCACTGTGCTGTCTCGCTGGTTTGAGACACTAACTTGTCATGGTAAGGCTCATTGAAAGTCTCTGGGTAACAGCAAATCTAAAGCCATTCCGAGCAAAATCCGGCCCAGTAACAACGTATACATCCTCCCAAGTCTCAAATATCAACAGGTAAGTGGTGATATAGTGGCTACATTACTAGGTTAATAATCCAAAACAGCAGGCTAATGTTCTGGGTCAATGAAGTTTGAATTCAATACAAATCTGGAATAAACAAAAGTTTGTTTTGTCGATTATCGTTCACTAATGTCCTTTAGGGAAGGAAACTGCCATCCTTACCTGCTCTGCCTACATGTGACTCCAGACCCACAGCAAAGTGGCTGATTCTTGACTCCCTCAGGGCGACTAGGAATGGGCAACTGCCCCCCTCCCTCCATTCCATGAATAAATAGAAAGAAGTTCAGAAACACTGTGCTGTACTTTGAGAATGTGCTTGATACAGTATGAATGATAAAGCAGAAAACTCACCTGAGGAACTAAACTGACATGAATGTTGCAGAAATTCTCTCTTTTGGCTTTGAACTGGAACTGACGGAATGCTTCAATGAAAGGCATGCTCTCAATATCTCCCACTGTACCACCCAGCTAAATACAGAGAGGATATTGTTAGGAGAGTCATATCAAGGCTCACACATTTAAAATAAGTCACCATTGACAAGGCAGAACCGCTATTGCTGTTATAAGCAAGTCTCTTCTGTTTTGAATATACTCCGTCTGTAACAGCTCCCTTTGCTTCTCTGATCCCCATTCCGTGCCCCATTCTCAGGCCTCTGCCAATCCCACCCTGTGAAGAGTAGCTACAAAAATGAGGGCTTGGAAAACCACTTGGATGTATTTTCCCCTCAGTCTGCAGAGCGGTGCTTGGCACCTGTCTATCTCCAGTGCTCAGTGTGCGTGTAGTCTGAACACTGACACTCACTCCCAATCACATATATCCTCAGAAATAGGACCCCTGTGCCTCACAGCTATTTGGTGAAGAAGAGAATAGTCAGCCAGGATTCCTGGTTATTGGTTATTATTCATCGCTTTTGAAAACCAAACATTTACGGATTTCAGGTGGGACTTTGTCGGCAAGATATGGAAGGCATCACTGCACATCACCATCTGTGATTGCTGTTTGGATAAGGCACCTCAAGGCTAGTGATGTGAATACAATTACATTGACTAACCGCTGGCATCTACCAGGAGGTGGTGCCTTGTCGGCCAAAGGTAAACTCTAATTCATTCCCTGGAATTACAAATGAACAAGCATGGTGACCCTCAGGTTAAACCACAACCAGGCATCTCTAATGAGAGAGCAGCTCTATGGTCTGACAGTGGCGACTTTACCTTTAATAATTTTTATTATGACGTTCAAAGACAGATCACAATTATCCATTCTTCTGGCTCAATTGGAGTCAGAAGGCAATCAAATAAAAATTCTATACCCAACATAAAATTTAATCTGAGACCTCACTGCAATACTGAGGGAGCTCTGCAGTGCCTGAGGTACTGTCTTTCGGAGGACCTACATATCCTTTCTCAAGGATGCAAGCACCAGGAGATTCTCCCCGAGTCCTTGGCCAGCACTCTGCCTACAATCATCACCCCCAGAAATATAACAAATCAGTCATTCCTTGTTTGTGGGACCTTTCTGGATACAAAGTCCCTTCAAAACGAGCAGCTGACCCATCATGAAACTTTTCACAACAGCAAGCATATGTTAAATGCAACAGAATGCAAGCATTGTACTTTTTAATTACCTCAATGACACACACTTCAGGCTCTACACCATCACTATCGACTGGAATGAGTGCCTGTCGGACCACCCACTCCTGAATGGCATCCGTGATGTGTGGGACAACTATAAGCAAACAAAAAAACTTCAACATTAATGACACAAGCAGTTTCTCAATGCACCAAATTTGTTCCTTCCACCCTTGCTGAATGGTGCAAGTAAGATTTCAATGGGGCCGTCTGCACGATAAAAGTTAGAAAAGCAAAAATGCATGTATCCAGAAAACTGCATCCAGCAGCATTTCTGAATGCTGGAACATTGATTCTGCACAAATAAGCTTCCCCAAGGTCACAGCTATTTGAAAGTGCTCTGTTATACAGAAAACTCTGGCAGCTGCATTGCTGTTGACATTGGGAATCGGTGAAGGGCTCCGATGAGTACTGCAGGTTCTGAAGCAGCCCTTTTAAGGTGAATGGGAAAAGAGATGCAAGCAAAATGGGGAAGAAGCTTTTGTTTTAAGTTCAGAGGGTTTATTCCTGCAGATTGTGGGATACACAGATATAGGAGTAGCTCTTGAATTAAATATGTAAAGGAAAACAAATTGCAAGTTTATTTTGTACATTCATTCACGAGATCTGGGTGTCACCAGCTAAGACAGCCTGAAAAGCCCTTGAGAAGGTGGTAGTGAGCTGCCTTCTTGAACCACTGCAGTCCCTGAGGTATAGGGGCACCCTCTGTGCTGCTAGGGAGGAAGTTCCGAGATTTTGACCCGACAATAGTGAAGGATCTATTTCCAAGTCAGGATGATGTGTGGTTTGGAGGAGAACTTGTAAATGGTG